TGCGACGGTTGCAGCCCCTGTGCTTTATGCAATGGCCTTACAGTACAGTTTACGGTCCTGGGAAGCGACACGGTCCTAGCTCTCTGAGTGGCTTCAGGCTGACACAAGAGCAAGCTGGGAACCCAAACCAAAATTCTTATTTGAGAAATTTGTTTGTTTTGCGGGAATCGTCCCCGGAAATGCTAGAAAAAAACGGAACTATTGACGATGTGGGGACAACAAAAGAAAACTTTCTCTTCCGTACGTACAGTCTAATCACAAGAGTTTTCTTCAAGCTTCTGTACTTGCTCCTCCGTTTTATCTTATCCCTAGACCAACAGAATTGCCCGGTAATATGAAGTCACGTAATCTTTCTATACATAACGTATGGTCAAGTAACTCGTAAACTTCCAGTTGCGTACACCCTTCACACCTCGAAAAACCTGTGTTCGGTTCGATTAAGCCCGTATGTTTCTTCATCATCACACTTATCTGCGCACTCCAAGTCACGTCTCTCTCGAAAAGTTTCGGAAACCTTTTCTCAATTTATTCTACATTCATTCCGAAGTCCGTATAAGAAAGATAACAGTACTTAGTTCCGCTCCAACTCAGATAGACTTTGACCGTCCGGCATTTCCTTAGACGCGATATTTCATCACACACTGAACTGAACTTTATCAAGAACCAATCATATTGTGAATTTTCGCTCGACTCAAAAATGCGGGAGGCTAATCTCGTCCAGTAAATGAGACGCCGCTTGCCGTCATTATCCAGGAGCAGCGGTAAAAGCATCTGACACCCACTGAGTACAGTATTCGCGATAAAATGGACTTTGCTAGATCAAAGTGCCAATCAGTACACGGGACCGACACGGTGTGATCGAAAAAGATTGGCACAACCTGACTCACAATTCCACGTGAACACGGTCACAGGAATTGGCAGGAGAAAAACGAGTGTACCAGGAGCATTCCCTGCATTACACAGAAGAAAAAACTAACAACCGAAGAGAGGATACACAAAAACGGGAGGAAACCGAGTATGAATCAGCATCCAAAACTGTAGCTGGGCTATGGGGATCGTCAAACATCGTTTTTGTGTTGATCGTCAGGTGTGGATATCGAATTCCGTGAATACGTTGATTCTCCACAAGCACATAGATTCTGTATCCCTTAGACGGTTGCGCTACAATAGGTCACTACTACTGCATTCTGGAATTTATGGACCACTCTGCTATGTATACATGCTTCAACCATGTACGCAAAAGAATTCATGTTAAAATTAAGAATTTGAGAATAAAAATCCTGCGGCATTATTTGGAGTGCCAGTCACTAGTGAACCGCTCAAACTGCGAAAGCAGAAAACGCATTCGCGCAGTGTGGAAAGCTACTGTCAGTCACACTACTCCGCGCAAGATGACTGTATCCACAATTGCGAGTAACAATGCCAGTATTTGTTTGCGAGGCCTCCGGATTTATATTACACGCTCCAGTGAATGACATTTCGCACCTTTTGTGTCATGTGTTCTTAGGAGTCATAGCTCAATAATGATTTGGATAATTTCGTCTGCTTCGGACAGGAAAGGTAACAGTGGTTTGAAATCAGCATTCCCAGCCAGCTCCCCTAGGTGAACTGCCACTGCTTCACCGAACCGGTTAGAACCCCAGAAGTTGGCTTTTTGTTCTCTCACTTTGGTGAGAAAACACCTCCAACACGAGAGGGAAGTGAGTAAGCCCTGTTGACAAGTTCCAACAGGGGTGAAACAGTTGTTCAACCCTCTTTAGCCGTTATGACAGAGATTTCTATGACAAACAGGCATGGTTTTTCAGTGCTTTAATTCTTCGAGTGTGTTAGAAAATTAACGTGGCCCAATATCAATTGTGCAACCATACGGAGATGCCAAGTACTTCAACCATGACAGTTCATAGTTCAAGGTTTCGCTAATCAATTTGCCGCATATCGTTATGACTGTCCACTGCGCACTATACGATCGTTACACCTTCTCGTTCGTTCACAGATAGAGCTTTGCAACACCTTTTAAAAAATATTTCAACACTGGCTTCGGCATATTCCGTGACTCACCTACGGTGACATGGCTACAGTTTGTACGTAGAGACTAAAGAATTGTAGGCCGTGGCTAGGGGGATATAGGTTAGGCTTGTATGATTGTGTTTCACGGATAAATTGCGGCCGATGACAATAATTTGATAGGTGGCGAAATGTGAAAGTGGGAGACAATGAGTTGCAAATCACCTTTTCGTTCCACTCAGCGACTGTTTCCGGAGGGGTATCACAAAAAAGTACAGCTTGTTGATGCTTCAACGATTTTGCCAAACAGTATAGCTCGTATCGATAACCCTTGATATAATTACAGGCGTCCATGATAACAATTGGATTTCGCACGTCACCACCAACAGCATCTGATCCACCAGATAAGAACCGTTCAACCTGATCACAAAGCAATATTGATCAAAGTGATGAATGTCACGGATATGTCCAGAAACATCGGGATTTAATCAATCAACCAATGATTTATGTAACCAATTACCTTCTTAGTGATGTGCAAATACAGCTTTACGAATCTAGCACAAACATACCAAGCGCTTGTTTTTGATACAGCGTTATCATTAGTACCATCATCGATGAAACGTCAGCTCAAACAAAGGAACACCGAAACAAACATCCATAGCCGGGTCCTCAATGGCTCTGCAATTTCCCGGTATATTCAGTCTCCGAGATTTTAAGATGATCCTTCCCTTGCAACAATGAATGAATGAGACATGCTAGACACGTTGGAAAGAATACCAACAACAAGCAAACAGTAACGCAATTCTCCATACCACTACTAACCGGGGAAAACCGCTTACAGATGAGTGCGCACAGTCAGACTGTGTAACACAATCCGGAATATAAGCTAGGAAATTGTGATAGCGCATGTTGCACAAAACTTAAATTGAAAGCTACCTCTGACTTGTGCTGACCACGTAATTCACGTTCTTTTACTGAGTCTGCATATATCCGCACTCTGGGGTCGTCATCGGTGGAAGCCGGCAGGGGTTCGGGGAGTGCAACAATTTCCTCTGAAATTTTTGCCAACTGCAACGCATGAACCAGGGCAGCGACAACCGACGATTTGCCGGAACATGGATAGCCACATACTGTGATCAATGGCATGATTGAAGATCACGAAACGGATGCGGATAAGCTAAAACAAAAACGGAACACCAGAGAGGAGTTTTCTGAAAATTCACTTGGAAGATCAAAAATAGCAATTGCTGCATTTGGGCAACAGTATCTCAGCTGGGGCGAGAGAGGGGGGGGGGTGCAGCACAAACGAATTGTCGACCCGCACACAGAAGGCTCGGTTGACCTTGGTTAATTCGAAACATCTCTGGTATTTGGTGCAGAGATTTGGTCGTCACGAGAAAAGTATATCATGGACTACCGGTGATCGAACAAGGTAGCCTAGGCCGCATTGCACGATTCTAGTGAGACNCTGGATAAGCCAAACTTAGGTCATACGCAGAGTCTTACGGAATCGCAGTCGGCCTCTGGAGAAATTGGTGGACCTCCAAAGGCTACAGTCGCTGTGGCACACCACTAAATAGAACGCCATGGCGCACGATGTTGCTCAAGATAGGTTATGGGTCAAAAGTCAACGGTGTTCACACTAAGATTTGGCCTGAGAACATGAAAAAACTGACCGGGAAACTCGATCATATAGGTCGGGTAGGGCGTCGCTGGTGGGAACTTCAGAATCAATGTAACTGACGCAGAGCGATATGGCTAAGTATCGTGAACAATGGTGCTCGAACATTTGCACTGTCTTTACAACTACAACCTACTAGGATTTCCTTTTGAACCTCGACACTACTTTCCATGCCAATCTCAACTCTTTTTCTTCATCTAAATAGATGACCAAAGACACCAACGGCCTTCGCCGCATGAATGTTTATGGTCAATGGTTGTATAAACTGAAACTCATACTAGCAAGTTAACAACAAAATCGAAGTTAGCTAGTATATACGAAACTTGACTGACAAAGACAAACGAGGAGAACATTACATTGTAGCAGCGCTTAAGTGGAAAAAATTGTTGACCGGTAAATCAGGTACCATCTACAGTTCCAGAGCTCACCTTTCAGGTCTACACTACAGACATAGGACGCTTCAGATCAACGAGTTTTTCAGCTGAAAGGAGCTGGTCCAATAAAAAACCTTTCTTGGAACCATCCTCCATTGCCAGCTGACAGAAATCAGGTGTGGAACGAGCAACACAGACCGACAGTAGTTATTTGTCGCCATATCTTCAATTAGATACGATTTCTCCTCCCCAAATTGATTTATTGGCAAAATAAATTATCTGATCTACTCCGAATAAACAATTAATCATTATCTTACTGACACCTTCAGGAAACGCAGTACTCGATCCACTATATTCCATGCAGACATGGATGATTCAAAGCTATCAACACTTGTGCCTGTTGAGGGTGTATCCAGCTTTTCACGTTTAACTTGTTGTAATGGTTAAACCGATAATTTCAAATGGAAACTGAATATTTTATGCTTTGGGTCACACTGCTCAAACGATCACCGTTCTTAAATGCCATGCGGTAACTTGTGCTTATTAGGTAAAAACGAAACACCATCCCAAATAGCAAAACTACCCCAGCAGCACAACGTAACACACAGGGTACTGATTTCCCCTGTGCCATTTTCCCTTTGCCTTCAACACATTTTTAAGGCCACAGAACTCTTTACATACAGTAGAACCAACAAGCTGGATATCACAGTCCCACGTTACCGGTTGGATGTTGAGGCGTCAAATCTCTCGACGTATTTTTGCAAACTGATGGGCTCGTTTGCCACTAATGACCAGTGCGTTCATATTAGACCCTTTGTGTCAGGCGATTCGGCACCCCACGGTAGCGGTGTTTCTGGTGTTGGGATGGTGCTAGGTCACAAGGTTGAGCGCTCGCTTCCTGACTGCATTCTAGTCAGTAGACGATTGTGCGCTGTACGCCTCAACAGTTTAGTAAGGGTCAACAGTCACAGAACGAAGTGTCGATGCTTCTTCATCGTATCGGTGTACGCACCGATCGATTGAAGTATGCCAGGAATCAATGATCAATTCTACAAGGATCTTTCTCGATTACTCCAAAGTGTTTGATCAACGGATGCCGTTGTAGTAACCGGAGGCTTCAATGCTGGACTTAGCGGTTCACACGCAATCCTAACCAATCAGACGGACACCGGTGATAGCCTACTTCAACTTTTCGCTGACCAGTGAATGTTCCTGTCAAGCACCATCTTCTAGCGCCGACATCGCCTTACTTAAAAACCGACCACCTCTTCAAAGCGGCGGACCCAAGTCGCCGTCGGTTACCGCTAGAGGGGACCAATTCAAGACTATCGATCTCAATGGTCAACACCAGTAGATACGGACCACGCCTTGTTACGAGTCTAATTCTCCTCATATCTGACGAACAACCGCAGACAAGCCACCGGTAACAGTTTCCCGCGATACAATGTCAGCAAATCGACATTAGGAGCGGAGCTCTCCGATTGCTAACCAGTTCAACCACCAACCGAAAGGCCTAATGAACGCTGGAAGCAAATCAAGAAAGTTATGCAAATATCAAAAGACAGGACAGCGGACTCTGGAACAGGCGCAAGACGCAAAGGATAGAACTCGTCGATCTCAGCTGCCCTGCGGGATGAAAATCCGACAAACGCCAGCACTTCAGGAGCCTGAGGATTAACCGCAAGAAGTGGTGAGTAAGAAAGTGTAGAGAGATGGAGAAATCTGCGGCAATTGGTATTAATTGCTATCTTTTCCGACTAAATAGAAATACGGGTCCCAAGAAAATACGCGTGCCATAATTAAGACGCACTGATTCATCATCAACAAGGTCGTTTTAATCGATGGGCTGAACAATTCGAGGCTCAGTTCAACTGTTCTCCATCGACATCTGACATNNNGCCCCCCCCCCCCCTTTCCCACATGTCGACTGGGCAAATACTCCCAGATGATGTCAATCCTCCATCTGAAATAGAGTTTTATCGGGAAATAAGTTATTTCAAAGGCATAAGGCCTCCGGCCCAGATCGGCTGCTTCCAATGGCTTTCAGGGATGGAGGTTTAGCGTTAGTCTTGGAGTTGACAAAACTCCTGGATTCAGTATACAAGAGAGAACAGGTTCCAACTGAATGGTGTGAATCGAACATCATACCGATTTACAAGAAGACACTGGGTGATATGGCTGAGTGTCGTGAACAGTAGCACTCGTGCATTGTTTCAATTTCTTTACAACCTTAGTCTACTGAAATTCTCCATTTTCAATTCGACTCTACTTTCAACTTTCCTGTCTTTCTTCAACTGATTCATCCAAATGGGCAGCCAAAAGATAGCAACCCCAACCGGCGCACGAAAAAGCATGGCTAATAGTTGTACGAACTGAAACTGAGGCATCAGTCGCAAAGCACTACTCCGATAACATATCTCAATGTAACCTTAGCTGCTCGAAGGAATTTCTCCTGCTGCGATGATCCCTATCCGGTGCCACTTTTCAATGACGAAATCCTTGGGTCTCTTCGGTGCTCCAAAGCATACCCGGATGCAGGCTTTGATGATATCCGTCTAGTGTCTCTCATGGAGCACAGCCACTCAAATCAACGCAACTAATGAGTCCGTCTTAAAGAGCGGTTGCTGACTTCTGGCGTCATGTTGCCATAATTCCAAATCAAGATGCTTATCATCTATTTATCAGAATAATTCCCTTTTTCTTGATTGTTTATCAAGCATCGTTCCATCAAACTTGAGCCTTTTAGCACTCCTGGACAGCTAAACTCATGGTTTTCTGACTAATTGCCAGAAGGGGTACAATACACCTAATGGGACAGGAGTTTTCAGTTTCAGTTTGAACAACCATTAACCATGCACTTTCGTGCGCCGGTTTTGGTTGCTGTCTTTCGGTTGCCCACTGGGATGAAGAATAGGAGAAGAAAGGAAAGTGGATTCGAAAGAAAAATGGAGAAGTTCAGTGGACTAAGGTTGGTAAGAAATTGATGCACGAACGCCACTGTTTACGACACCCAGCCATATCGCTCAGTGTCTCTAACCATCGACGATTCGAACAGAAAATGGAGAAGTTCAGTGGACTAAGGTTGGAAAGAAATTGAGAAGATGCAAATGGAGAAGTTCAGTGGACTAAGGGTGGGAAGAAATTGAGAAGATGCACGAACGCCACTGTCGGAGAAGTTCAGTGGACTAAGGTTGCAAAGAAAGTGAGGAGATGCACGAACGCCACTGTTTAACATATCGCTCAGTGTCTCTGACCATCGGTTACGATCATCCCGAGGTCCCCAGTCAGGGAGCCTAACAGGACCTATGTGACTCAGTTTCCTAGTTAGCGTTTTCATATCCTCGTGCCAGGTCTTAACTTGACCACCCTTGGCATTTTTCCACTCTGTATCTTCTTCGGCGAACATTGCTCACCGTAGTAACCTACCTGGTGACATGCGTAACCCTTGTCCCAGCCAACGTGGGAGGTCGATCACTTGCTCCAGTGGGCGACCGTATTTACCCAAAACTCTGTCCCTAACCTCAGCATTGCACATCCGGCTACCTCACCAGATTCGTGCAATGCTGCGTAGACAAAGGTGTTCAAACACCGACAGTCTGTCTTTATCTTGTTTTCTTAATAGCCAAGTTTCTGCACCGTATAGCA